ATAGAAGTACACACTTTTGTGGATAGAGAGAGTACACATTTTTTTTCACCAAACATAGACCCTTCACCGGATAGAGAGAGTACACATTTAACATTTACATATGCTTGGTTAACATTTATTAAATACATGTTCAACATTTTTTCAAATACTTGATTAAAATTTGTATACACATTATAAAAAATCATTATTTTTTTCATACATGGTCAACATTTTCTATACACATTTAACAATTTCAAATGCATAACTATTTTAAAAAAAGAACTTTATGTAGAGTATATTTTTGTCATATATATATTTAGATTATTTGGAAGCGTAAATGAAAGTAGAAATCGAAAAATGAAAAAAGCAGAAAAAACAGAAACAGAAACGAATCACTGGTGTCCGGATGAATGTGCCGGCCCATACGCTTGCTCGAATGCGAGGCGTTCAGCGAGGCGGAAGTTCATATCGCCTAATGCGCGACATAGTTGACTCCCGCTCCACGCCGGGAGCAGACGCAGTCTGCACCCATCACTCCACCAACGCGCCCTTTTCGGACCGCCTTTGCTTTTCCATTTTTCTTTTCTTTTCTGTTTTTGGTTTTTTCTATTTTAAATTATTGTATATTTCAAAATGTACCGAATTCTTTACAAACATTGCATTGAAAATACTGTTCATCGATTAAGAAAATGTTTTTGACTTTGCAAAAACTATTTGTTTACTGAAAAAATGTTATGAAATTGATCAAATGTTCACAAATTCAAATTTTGTTTATGAACTTTTTTAAAATATTTGAATAACGTTCATCAGTCTGAAAAATTATTGGACGAACTGTACATGCATTTCAAAAATGTTGTCAAAACAAAAAAATGTTCATGAATTACAAACATTGTTTCCCCAATTTCTAATAATGTTCGTCGATTCGAAAAATATTCTCCGGTTCAAAAAAAAGTTCACTGGCTTAAAAAATATGTTCACAATTTTCAAAGATGTTTGTGAATGTGTGAAAAACGTTTCTTAACTAGAAAATGTTCATGATTTTCAAATTGTTTGCGAATTTGTGAAAAATGTTCGTGAATTCTAAAAATGTTCACGATTTCAACAAATGTTCAAGAGTTTGAGAAATGTACATGATTTTCAAAATTGTTCACGATTCGAGGAATTATGTTCACAAATCTGAAAGATGGTCGCAATAAAGAAAAAGAATAAGAAACAAAGAAAAAAAGATGGAAAGGATAAAGTAAGAAAGGAAAGGGAAACAAAAAAATGTTTCATGGAGAAAATAATGTAAAAGGAAAAGAGAAAAAGAAGGAAAAACAAAAAACAAAAAATAAAGGAAAAGCAAAAAAAATATGTTTCACAGAAAGTTCTAGAACCTTCCTAAAACCAATGTGGAAAAAGTCCAAAAGATAATCGGTGGCAGGTTGTAGAAGGTACTCCCTCCGTCCGAAAAAACTTGTCATCAAAATGAATGAAAAGAGATGTATCTAGAACTAAAATATATCTAGATACATGTCTTCTTATTCTTTTTTATGAAAATTTCGGACGGAGGGAGTAGATGCTAGGTCGTTAACGAGCGACCTACGCGCCAAAAGATGCATGTTGTCAGAGCTATACCTCGCATCACAGGCAGCGCGAGTGGGCCGGTCCATTAGCGTAGGACTCCACGGGCTGTAGGTTTGCCCTGCTCCGTATTTTTGTCATTTTATTTTGGTTTGTTTTTTTACCGGTTTCCTTCGGGTTTTTTGTCACTTTATAACTTCTATTTTCTTTGTTTCCATTGGTTTCTTCTGTTTTTTAATGTTTACACTGGTTTTAATTTTCTTGTCTTTCTTCATTTTTATGTTGATATTAGTTTTTTCTCGGTTATCACTGGTTTCTTCTTAATTTCTCTTTTTCTGTATTCTTCTTTCCTTGATTTTTTCTTTGGTCTTCATTGTTTCTTGTTTTCTTCATTTCTCTTTCTTTGTCACCGTTTTCCTTTGGTTTCCTTTGAGTTTTTCTTTCTTTCTGTGTATGTGTTTTTCTTCATGGTTTCATCATTTTTCTACAGTTTCAAAACATTTTTCCTAGAGAATTTTTTGTTTTTATGTGTAGTTTATTTTTTTTCTTTATTTTTATGTACATTTTTCTAGTGCATGTGAAACATTATTTTTACACATGTTAAACGTTTTTAAAATATACAACTACATTTTTTTAAAATAATTGTTTTGATGTCTACATTTTTTTGTATACATCATCAATATGTTTTTCCCATTTCGGTGTTGCTTCCCCTAAAAAATTGTATAAGTCTGCTACGGTGCACTATCATAAACGGGCATATGCACCATTGGAAAATTTAATCATAACAATTGGAAACAAAACATCAACCATGTCATGAGCTTCTTTTCCAACAACAATTGTCCTATTTGAGGACCAAAGCAGTATTTCACTTGACATTTTCTTCCTGGATGTTTTTATATGCTTCTGACTGAAGTAAGACGTAAGCTCAGACCCATTTCGGTGAGTAAATTGCAGAAAACCATCATTTTAAAGGCAAGCTTTGCGAAAACCACTACAATACATTTTTTTTTGCAAAAAATACTGTGTCTACGGTAATCTTTTTGCAGAAAGCACTGATCGGCGGAATGGAGCGTTTTAAGCATGTTTATGACAGGTGGGTCCAAATTTTGCTGACGTGGCGCAACGGCTCTGTCAAAACAGCGTTAGATGGGGGATTTTACAAGGAGGCCCTTACGTCAAAATAAAAAAAGCAATCAGCTCCATGGACGAGCTCTTCTTCGCCAGCGGCGTGGCCGCGCCGGCGATGCAGCCCCAACGACGCGGGCAGAGATGACCCGATCCCGACGGGGTCTGGACGAACTAGAGGGAGGCGAGGCGGTTCCCGACGGGTCCGGCTGCTGTCACCGCCGGCGAGGACTGCCCGAGCTGGGGAGGACCAGCGGGCTCAGGCACACCACAAACCTCGAGATCCCGTCGCCGTTGGCGCCTGATCCATCGGCCTGCTGCGCCGCTGGTGACGGTGATGGTGCCTGGCCGGGGAGGGCGACGGGAACCACCAGCTGCTGCTCGTGCTGCCTCCTGGGGACTCGGGCTCCTCGTCCACCGGGCGCGGCAGCAACGAGGATGACGCGTCTGGCCTGCGCGAGGCAACGGCGGCGGCGGGCCTGGGCGAGGGAACGGCGGCGACGAGCCTGGCGAGGCAACGGCGGCGGCGGGCCTGGGCGAGGGAACGGTGGCGGCGGGCCTAGCGAGGCAACGGCGGCGACGAGCCTGGCGAGGCAACAGCGACGGTGGACCCGGTGAAAATAAGATGAACCAGTTTTTTTCTTTTTTCTTCCAATGACAGGTGGACCCACATAGGGATGATAACGTTACCAGACGTTGTCGTTACATGCGAGATGTTAAGCGGTGCCACATCAGCCTAACTGGCGGGTCCCCTCTGTCATAAACTCACTTATCTGAGCCCGATCCGTCGATCAGTGTTTTCTGAAAAAAGATTACCAAAGACATGGTATTTTCTGCAAAAAAATGTATTGTAATGTTTTTCGCAAAGCTTGCCTTCAAAGTGGTGGTTTTATGCAATTTACTCCATTTCGGTTTTGCATACATTTTATAGCGAAAATTCCACAAGAGCATCTTGAGAGGAGATATACGACGCGTTTTGGTTCGGCGGAAAAGTCACGGCTTCCGTAACCAGCGCTTTCTGAAACGGCACCCAGCGTTTGGTAAGCAGACCATGTATTCGGTACCCGCGTCTTCCGATACATCGTTTCACGAAACCGAAAACGGCCGGAGCAAAGGTGATTAGGAAACCGGAGTCGAACGCTCGAACCAAACTGAACGCGTATTCGATAGAAAAACATTGGAAACCGGAGCTTCCCAATACCAGAATGAATACGTTATATGAGTGCGAACCAAACACGTCGATGATGTTACTCATTTCTTCTTTGCAACCCGTTCTCAACTTTTCAGTTTCATGTGAATTGCGCGGCAACACCTCACTCTCCATTGGTCTCCTTTTCCCACTAAGTTGTGGCAAGACATTCTGCTATGTGCAATGTATAGTCAAATAAAGTGGGCCGTAGCTGATAAAGACAATCCAAGAATTAAAAGAATGCATACACTAGTTTGTGTGCGATAGTGGGTATCAAGCTCAACTAATAATCTTGTAAAGACGGATTCCCGCTCCTCGTATCAACATCATCATCAACTGATAAGCCGTGACGACAACCAATCATCCTTTCAATGGACCGATTCAATAAATGCCACTCCCTTCGTTCCCAAATATTTGTTTTTCTCGAATGTTTGTCTTTCTAGAGATTTCAACAAGTGATTACGTACGGAGCAAAATGAGTGAATCTGCGCACTCTGAAAGGAAGCGCTATTTTGTTCCTTTGGGTGACTCGTCGGTATCGCCATCGACAACCGTGTCACGGGTGAAATCGTTGACACGTGCCCAGGGTTGAAACCGACGGTTCTCGGTGTGCGTCACGCGTCGCACTGCTTGCCTGGAAGAGACAGACGAGGGAGCGAGTGGGGTCATTAGATTGTTCTTATTCCTGTTGTAGGCGACAGACAGTTGAGTAAGTAGCCGGCCGGCCGGGCGGCCGGTGACGTGCAGCACTGCTCGAGCACCAGCTTCCTTCCTTGCTTCCAGATTGTTGTGATGCAGGCGGGACGACGTTGCCGGGACGGCCATCACACGAGTCCTGGGCGGCCAGGATCGGCCCACGTGCCCCGCCCAGCCAAGTCAGCCCATCCAGCCAGCCAATCAGCCGAACCCCCTCCTCCCATTGGCCGGCCCGCGCGCATCCGGGCCCACCAGTCAGCCGGCCCGCACGGGGCCGCTGCTCGGCCTGCCACACTCTCCAACAACCAACCAAACCAAACCACCCACTCCACCCCCCAAATCTCTCGTCTCCGCTCCATCCATTCCATCCTCTCCGTCTCCGGTCAGCTCGCCAGATCCTACCTCTCCGTCCGACCGTCCGTCGTCGCCGCTCACGAGCCGGCCGGCCATGGCGTCCGGGAAGCACTTCAAGTACATCGTCCTCGGCGGCGGCGTCTCCGGGGTAAGCGCGCGCGCACCTCCGTCCGCTCCGTTTCGGGGGGTTCGATCGATTGTCTGTCTCTCCGGATCTCACATCGCGGTTTTCGCTGACGCAGGGGTACGCGGCGCGGGAGTTCGCCAAACAGGGGGTGCAGCCGGGGGAGCTCGCCATCATCTCCAAGGAGGCAGTACGTATAATTCTCCCCCCGTAACCCCCCTCTCCCCTCCCAACATTTCTGGATGGATGGATGGATGGATGGATGTTTTGGACTCCGGTGTTCCCCTCCACGATTTCAATCCTAGACGTTTCTGTCACCCCGGCACCCGTTCGCTCACTGAATTACAGTTGTGCCATGGATAAATAAATGTTTAATCTACGTGTATGCTCGTACTGAATCTCCGGTTTATCTTCAAATTACCACCCCCTCGGTCTCATATTAATTGTCTCTCAGACGGATGTATCTAGACGCATTTCAGTGCTAGATACATCCGTTCGAGCGACGATTAATATGGGACAGACGGAGTAGTAGAGTACTAGTCAGGACCCAGGACTAGTCACTGAAATCATGATGGTTACTGTTAGCCGTATGTAAGCGAAAACTAGATTTCTAGCATGGCTGACCAACCTTCTCCCTGAGTCCCTCTACTAGCACCCGTGATCAGCCTACTGCTCGTCGTCATGCTGCTGCTAATGTTTATCAGTTTACCAGTTTGGTCAACCGCAAACAAGTTGTGGTTTTACTTGTCTATCTACTGAGAGATGATATGATGCAACATATTTCTTACCATGATTTTTGCTTCAGGTGGCTCCTTACGAGCGCCCTGCCCTCAGCAAGGCATACCTGTTCCCTCAGAGTAAGTTTTTCAGTCCATGTCATTTTCCCTTGATGCCTGATCCACCCCATTTTTTAAACCGCATTTGATTAGCACACACTTCATTAAGACCGACTCACTTTGCGTTTTTGTCTATGAGCAGGTCCTGCAAGATTGCCAGGATTCCATGTGTGCGTGGGAAGTGGAGGCGAGAGGCTCCTGCCTGAATGGTACTCAGAGAAAGGTATGAATTTCTGACCAAGCCCCCTGTATTTTTTGGCACTTCATGGTTGTGTGCGTTTTAACCTGCATGCTACACAATTTATTCAAAATGAGTTGATTACTTCCTTGCACGATTCTTTAGCTGTAAGGGTGTATGGCCCAGGCACCGGCCAATTGGCAGTATTAGCTTGTCATACTATCGCCTTCCGCTATATCTTATTCACTGCACTAGCCCCATGTGAGAATAATCCTACTGCCTAAGTAACTACTCAATCTTCTAGTTTTTCAAGGGAATTAATCAGGAAACATTATTTCCTGTTCAATCTTGTGGTAAATAATTTTGTAACATATGAAACAGAGATCCTCAAATGAAACCGTTCTAGCCTATACAAAATCTGTTAGTATTCAGCAGACGATTTTCCCAGGGTCTATTTTCCTTTTGAGAACTAGGTTGACAAAGCAATATATGTCTGTAAGAGTATCCATTACATGTGTTTGATCTTAATGTAATGATTTTGGATCTGAGCAAAGTCATGATTCATGTGTTGGCAGGCATCGAGCTTATCCTGAGCACTGAAATTGTCAAAGCTGATCTTCCTTCCAAGACTCTGACTAGTGCAGCTGGAGCAACCTTTACATACGAGATCTTGCTAATTGCTACTGGCTCCTCAGTATGTGTCATTGACTTCTTATTTTGATTTTGAACTGTCAGCAATTTGTTTTATACACGGGGGGTAGACGATGGAACAAAATGTTGCCCGCAGACCTTATAAAAGAATTATCAATTACTAGCTACTGTTGCTTTTACTTATGATGTAAAACTTCTGTTTTCACTTGATTTTCAGGTCATTAAGCTCTCTGATTTTGGCACTCAAGGAGCTGATTCTAACAACATTCTGTACCTGAGGGAAATTGACGACGCAGACAACCTGTATGCAGCTATCCAAGCAAAGAAGGGTGGGAAGGCAGTGGTGGTTGGTGGAGGTTACATTGGCCTTGAACTAAGCGCAGTATTGAAGATGAACGATCTTGATGTGACTATGGTGTTCCCTGAACCTTGGTGCAGTAAGTGTCCATGACTCTATCACTAATCCTTATTCAGCTTCGCCTCATGGCCTCATGCCACTGGCATGCAGTTATGATGTGAAGCACACTATAATTAGAAGATTCTTCTGTTTTTGGCAACAACTGTATAACGCAACAATTTCATTTCTTGTAGTGCCTCGTCTCTTCACCGCCGAGATTGCAGCTTTCTACGAGAGTTATTATACTAACAAAGGAGTCAAGATCTTGAAGGGTACAATTGCTGTTGGTTTTGATGCTGACGCTAATGGTGATGTATGTACAGCTCCCAAATCTGAATTCAGCTCTGCTGTTCTCATCGCGGGTGCATATGCTTACTTGCTTCACTTTGTTTCCTGCTTGCCAGGTCACCGCAGTTAAGCTAAAGGACGGCAGTGTGCTCGAAGCTGATATTGTTGTCGTCGGTGTTGGGGGCAGACCGTTGACTACTCTCTTCAAAGGCCAAGTTGCCGAGGAGAAAGGTGGAATCAAGGTTAGTTTGCTTCGAATTTGCCCTTTATTGGTGTAGAAGGTTATGTCGTTGTTCCAGTTAAAGAAAGTGTCTATGATTCTTCAACTGTATGCCCCCTTATCAAGAACGGCAGCTGTGCTGCCACAGCGCGTGCTATTTTCTCCTTGAGTTCCATTTTCGCTTGTTCTTGTTTATGCCCAAATGTCTGATGCGCCTGAGCAAATTTTGTGCAGACCGATGCTTTTTTCGAAACAAGTGTCCCCGGAGTGTATGCCGTCGGCGACGTGGCCACCTTCCCGATGAAGATCTACAACGACGAGAGGAGAGTGGAGCATGTCGACCATTCCAGGAAGTCCGCGGAGCAGGCTGTGAAGGTGAGGATGGAAGGACTTTGTGTTCTCAACAGTAGTGGTGACACATTTCATTTTTCTCCATAATATGGCCTCTGAACTGCAACAACCAACACCACATCTCTATGTCCATCAGGCAATCAAGGGGAAAGAGGCGGGTTCCGCCGTGGAGGAGTACGACTACCTGCCCTACTTCTACTCGCGGTCGTTCGACCTGTCGTGGCAGTTCTACGGGGACAATGTCGGCGACGCCATCCTGTTCGGCGATGCCGACCCCGGCTCGGCCAAGCCCAAGTTCGGGTCGTACTGGGTTAAGGACGGCAAGTGCGTGGGCGCGTTCCTGGAGGGCGGGTCGCCAGACGAGAACGCCGCCATCGCCAAGCTCGCGAGGGCCCAGCTGCCCGCCGCCAGCCCCGACGAGCTCAAGGCCGCCGGCCTCCAGTTCGCCAGCAAGATCTGACGCAGCCCCGCCGCTGAGGTGTCACATTTGGACATTAGATTTGCAAATACATACATGCATAAATAGTATTATTGGTCGATGCTATTGTGATGTCTGTATACCACATACTCTCTCAGTTTCTCCGCGCCTTTGAGGTTTCAATCAATAAAGCCCGCGCCCTTGCGGTCGGTTCAGTACACCTTTGTTGGCATAAGCTTTTGTGAGGATGATTTTGTGTGCCCGCTCTGGCGCCGGCGCCGTGATGGCCACCGCCGCGGCCGGCCTTCCTCGGCGGGGGAGGTGCGGGCGGAGGCGGAGGTGCACCGTGGCGGCGGCGATGGGCGCGCCGGAGGTGGAGAAGGGGAAGACGGCGACGGTGAGGAGCAAGGCGTCGGGGGACGCGCTGGAGGTGTGCCGGGTGGTGAACGGGATGTGGCAGGTGAGCGGCGCGTCGTGGGGGCGTGCGGCGCCGGCGGCGGCCGTGGACGCCATGCTCGCCTACGCCGACGCCGGGCTCGCCACCTTCGACATGGCCGACATCTGTGAGTAGGATCGCATCTCCTTGCCTCCGCCGCAGTCCGCACGCTCTGGATCACGCTTCCGCGTCCCGCGTGCGCACACGCTCGCGCCTCACGGCCGCTCGTTTGCGTATTGCCTTTGCGCTTTTGAGTTTCCATCTGTTTTGAGGTCTCTGAATATCCATCTGTTTTCGTTTGCAAATAGAGAAAGGAAAACCCATGCGTCGCAAATTAAATCCGAATCTTCTAGGAGAAAACCCGCTCAATAAGATCAGACCTCGAAATAGCAATATCGTGTTCTTAGGGGCACATGCAAACACGGAAACTTTCCGACCGTCGTCGATAAGATCGGGCCTCGAAATAGGTTTTCGCCGCGCTTTATGATAAGGTCAAACCTAGCTTCGACAGGGGAGAGGCAACAAACAGCGTGTCGGCTGTAGTAATCGTTCGGTTCGACGGTTCAAAAACCTCGATATAATAAAGTTTGTATTGCTTTGTACTTCTGTTGAACTTTTTAATACCAATAATAGATTTGTAATACTTTTGAAAACAAAAAGAAGAAGTAATTTTACACAAACTAATTTCTCACTTGTACTGAAGCCGCGAGGGCCAAGAGCCCAAGCGCGCCTTATCTCTCTCTCCCTCTCGCGCGCGCGCCAACGCTCGCTCGTGCCCGTGCCCGCGCCAGCCATGTCGTCGTCAGCAGCCCGCGCGCTCTCGCCGGCGCCGGCGGCGCCGCCCCCGCCCCCTTCGCCGCGCCGCGTGCGGCCGGCCAGGTGCGCGGGGTTCGTGGGCCCGGCGGTGGAGTCGGCGTCCCCGGGCGCGAGGGCGGCGACCCTCGCCAGCAGCCGCGGCGGGACCGACTCGTCGCTGGCCATCTGCCGGGTGCTCAACGGCATGTGGCAGACCAGCGGCGGGTGGGGCCGCATCGACCGCGCCGACGCCGTCGACGCCATGCTCGCCTACGCCGACGCCGGCCTCTCCACCTTCGACATGGCCGACCACTGTCCGTAGCCCCCCACCCACCCATCCGCCCATCTCTCTTAGGAATTTGCGCGAACACCTCGCGTGCATGTGCATCGGGCCTCGTTTGCCACGGATGAATTGCTAGAGTATATCTAACGCTAGTGGGCAGGCTTGCTCGATGCCGTCTGATTGCTTCTTGAAAAATTGATGCATTGTAAGTTGAAGCTGCGATTTTCCTTCAAAGTCCATAAATAAATAGCATCAGTTAGGCAGGCTGGAGCAGATAGAGCACAGTAGACCGAAGAACAGGGAGAATTACAGCTTCAGTGTCAGGCAGAGTAGTCTGATCAGCATTCTGGTCCATGACAGGTTTGATAGGAGCAGGAGGCTGTGTATGTATGTAGTGTGCTCTGTTTATGTGCTATTATGAGCTGCAATTAACGGCCGTCCAAGCGTTAAATGTTGATACATGAGTTGATAGTCTCCATTTTTTTTCCTTGGCTGGAGCATATTTTCAACTAGGTATGGAAACATGGTTGTTGTCTTGGCAGATGGACCGGCGGAGGATCTGTACGGCATGTTCATCAACAAAGTCCGGCGCGAGCGCCCGCCCGAGATGCTGGAAGAAGTCAGGGGGTGAGCGAACAATTTGTCACGGTCTTGGTGCCACCGAGACGCATCCGTAGCAGATTTTCCTGCTGCTGCTCTCTGACTGTTGCTGAGCTGCCTGTGCAGGCTTACAAAGTGGGTGCCGCCGCCGGTCAAGATGACAAGAAGCTTTGTTGAGGAGAACATCAACAGGTCCCGGAAGAGGATGGACGTCGCTGCCTTGGACATGCTGCAGTTCCATTGGTATGTTTGCTTGGTGCGCTGATTAGCTATTGTAAAAGTCCATTTCATGAGCATTTCCTCTTCATTGTCAGTGCAACTGGAAGGCTTTTGATGCTATTCATTTGGATCCCTGTTGGTAGTCAGTAGTGAATCTCGTGTCAAGTATTTTGGACAATGAGTTCATCCTGATCATATGGAATGCTTGTTAATATGCTAGAGGGCCGAGTGCTCAGTAAAAACTTTGGTCCTGGTTCCATGATTTTGGAGATTGATGTCGTAGATGTATTCGAAGCCCTGTGCGCTGTGTGTCTATGTTTCTTTTTGCTGCCGCTCTTCCGCTGGTCCTTCAAACCTCTAGGTATCTTCCTGCTAGCATTTGGTGGCAGATGGGGCATCTTTTTTACTACTTTTTTCCATTTTCGAAAAAATATCTGGAATTCTCGTTCACAGACAAAAGTATGCCGAGAGTTGTGCCATTGTCATTACTCTTAGATGTGTTGCATGAGAGGCCAGTTTAAAGGTGATTTTTGCTGACCATTTATCACAAAACAGGTGGGACTATGCAAATCCCGGATATCTAGATGCACTAAAGCACATCACAGACCTGAAGGAGGAAGGTAATATTTTTAACCTTGACTGGATAATAATTGTCCACTTGTGCCCTCATCTCTTATACTTGTAGTTTTTAAGTGTGAATAAATTATCTTACATCATGCCCCTTTTTGTTCTGAAAATTCTGAAGGCAAGATAAAGACTGTAGCTCTGACGAACTTCGATACAGAGAGGCTGCAGATAATCCTAGAAAATGGAATACCAATTGTCAGCAACCAGGTATATATATCACTGCGTTACTTACCTCATGTATGGTGTATATTCCCTTACTAGTGTCGATGATCATATGGTCCTCAGATAAAATAACGAGAGATGATGTAAAAATACCAGGTTCAACATTCTATTGTGGATATGCGCCCGCAGAAAAAGATGGCAGAGCTTTGCGAGCTTACCGGAGTCAAGCTTATAACGTCTGCTCCCTCCCCTCCATCCCTTTTTCTTCTTGTCCTTCAGTAGAGCATAGCCTGAAGTTTGAATGCATTTTTGTGGATGCAGGTATGGCACGGTGATGGGCGGCCTCTTGTCCGAGAAGTTCCTCGACACCAACATCAACATACCTTTCGCCGGACCTCCTCTGAACACCCCATCCCTGCAGAAGTACAAGAGGGTGAGCAGTTTGTAATCCTTTCGGTTGAGCGTGTTGGCCACCTTCCAGTCTTCTCTTGCTGTTCTCACTGTTGATCCTACAACAGATGATCGACGCTTGGGGCGGCTGGAGCCTGTTCCAGGCCCTGCTCCAGACATTGAAGAAGGTGTCGCTGAAACACGGCGTCCCCATCTCGACCGTCGCCGTAAGATACATCCTGAACCAGGTAGTCCTCCACCCTCCACATCTTCATCACATTTTTCTCCCTCTGGAGAAGTAATATCTTCATCATACTGGCCTCGAGGTCTATCATCTCATCTCTGTCTGCTCATGATATTCACCATAACTCATAACTGCTGACACTGTGGTTGTTCTTGGGGGCAGACATCGGTGGCGGGGTCGATGGTGGGCGTGAGGCTGGGTCTCTCGGAGCACATCAGGGACACCAACGCCATCCTGTCGCTGCTGCTGGACGAGGAGGACATGGGCAGCATCACCGAGGCGTCGCAGCGGGGCAGGAACCTGATGGAGGTCATCGGCGACTGCGGCGACGAGTACAGAGCCTAGTGATCTTCACATGGCCGGGGATCGAGTCTCGATCCTCGATCCCCCCAGCATGTGCTCCCACGACGATATATACATACCACCTTAACAAATGAGATGACAATCATGGAGAGGAAAGTTTGAGAGGCATGGAGACAGATAGACAGAGAGACAGAGGGACAAGGAGGATCATGTGCTCCACCGAAAGCACCGGCGAATGTGGTGGTGGTGGACAGATCTCCCTGGCCAACAGGGAGCATATCCCGGCCTTGGAGACCGATCTAATCATGGCATATGATATTGTATTTTAAGTGTAGTAGTACAAAATTCATGGAATCATCGTGCTGATGGTGATGCTTGCCGTGCAAATTGTTATTAGTTGCTCCCCTGTTTGGGAATATATGAGGATCTGGACAGCAAAGACAGTGTCTAAAATACTATACAATATATGCACAAACACCATGACAGGTACCTTGAAAAATTGTAGTATGAAATTTGACCATTGTTGTTTGATCATTAAAAGTATGTCTAAAGATGCGTAAAAGCAAACATGTTGTTTTCAGGGTGCCTGTCGTGAATGAAAAAAAAAACTATTTTACCGATACGTTTTCTGGGCGGTGAATCTTAAAAGGTTTTGTGTGTATCAGTAATATTTATTTATTTAAGTGTCTACCTTTCATTTTCCTTGAGGACTGACGCGATTGTCATTGGTTAAGCTTACCGTGCAACCACTTCTTCCTCTTTACCTCATCTCCCCTCTTCACCAATGCCCTCCTCCCCCTCCCCATGCTCGCCCTCCTATTCGGCGCCAACTCCATCGATTGCTTGACATGCCTGCTTTTATTCCCACACTTGCGGTTGGGTGAGGCATGGTGTTGTCCTCCTGATGCAACCCCCCTTCCCCTGTCGGGGCTCTGGGACTGGGGGTACCCAGGGTCGTCTGCCTGCGGCCCACCGCATGTCATCGTCAAAGGGCCTAATGCGGCCCAGCGTCAAGACTTCACGAGAAGGCCCTCGCGAGGGGCGTATCAACAGGTGCCATCAACTGCCCCAAAGGCTCCATGGGGGTGGCTTCCCGAGGGCCTCCCGCAGGGCGGTCTCCCGAGGCCCCTCGCCGGGCGGTCTCCCGAGGCCCCTCGCCGGGCGGACATCTCTAGGCTCGCCTCCTCACCTCGCAACGCACGTGGGTGACGTGAGCCACGACACGCGTCGCCAGGACCGGTGCCAGCGGGCGCGGACGGTGAGGCTTTCCTCTTTGGTGTTAAACAAGCAGGGCCAGCGTGCAGTTCCCAACGCAGCCCCAAAGGTTACCTCTTCGGTGCAACAAGACCAGGACAGCGGGCTCGCTAGGATGGAGGTCATCGCCGAGCCCACCTAGACGTCACGACCAGAAGCTTTGCAGGCGAAGACCACTTTTAGTCAGGATAGGGTGTACTATTACCCTCCTTCAAAATTGGCCGTTGTGGACTCCCTTCCCGCCAAGAGCTTTGGGGGAAGAGGACCGGGCCATAAGTATAGGCTAGACGCACCGTAGAGAGAGGTCGATGCATAAGCCCTCTCGAGGCAGTTCATCCTTGAACTGGGCCCTTTAAACCGAAAGGTATGGAGTATCATTTTTTTGAGAAAGTATGTTTGTATTCACATCACCAAAAACTATATACTCCTAACCCCGTACAAGCACACACTAACACACTCATGATTAAGCAAAAAAAAACAAAGAGCACCCTAACACAACTAGAAAAACACAAAGATCTTTGGATCTATGTGTCCTTGAGAAAGACCCCTGCAACAAAAGAATGTACAACAAGACCTAAGCAGGACATCATCTTCAACCACAGCATCATCACCGTCACACTGCTCCACTTTTTCTTTGCTCCTGCGCCAAAAGGACAAGGGCACACCTGTGTATCCAACAAGCTTGCACCAGCCTTCGCCATATGTGGCTTTGAGTACCGCCTTATGTGCCCCTTCCGGTTGGAAGAGAAATAGGATTCGGTTCCGGTGCCGCGGCCAGGCCAACCGCCCACACAAAGCAGGACATCCCTCCAGCAGTAGAACAGAAGAAAAATGGCGAACAACAACAGAAGATCATACCGACAAGGAGGAAGAAGAAGCTCCATCTCCGCAAAACCATCAACCACCTTAGGCCTTGCCCGGCCAGTGCCAATCGACCTCGAGACATCATAGCCACCTGGCTCCTAGACAGAGGCTAGAGCCCTGACTGACCGCGTATGAAGCCTGAGGGAACTTTATTCAGACGCGCCGCCGCCGCAACGAACTCGGCAACGTCTCCCCCAACCCTAACCCTACCGTGAACACAACTGATGCACAAATCCAAGGTCCCCCCTCCCTCCCGCCGCCGGAGGGAGAGGGAACCAAGGGCGGCGGCGGATGAGCACAAATGGAAGCCCCGGTCGCCTCGCTATGATCCGCTTTTAGCGGAGGTCGTCCGATGGAGTACCATCTTGATATTAATAAATTGCCATTTGTCCGAAAAATTGCCCCACCCCGTCCCTCATCTTTTTAACAACTGATTGGTGAGGAGAACATCATTTTATCCTCCATGATCCCAAGGAAAGGTTCTAAAAAATTTCCAAAAGGGGAAAAGAGGCACCAAGCAAGGTGAAAAAAAGCCCTAATGTAAAAACTTTCTCCAAAACTAGTTAGAAAATCAAAAGGATTGGCACAGCTTAGAATCGACGCGAGTATATAGCGGGTCGGGTCCATATCCATCCCCCCTACTCATCCCCACTCCTGTCCCCCGTCCACTCCGCCGCCGCCGCCGCCGCCGCCGCGAATTCCGCCCGCGTCCACCGCCGCGCGTCGCCCCGGCGGACTCCAGGACCTCCGGATCGGAGCCCCGCGCCTCGCCATGGCGGTCGCCGCGCTCAAGGTGCAGCTGAACGCGCTCCTCTCCAACATGTTCGCCACGGTGAGCCCCCTCCCCGTCCCCTCCCCGTCTACCCGCCGCGCGGCTGTGGGCCGCGACTGCCGCCGTGGATCGCCGTGCGGCTCTGGGCGCGGGCGACGGGTTTCGCTTTCGTCTGGCTGACTTTGCGTTGCGATCTAGGGTATGGTGGACGAGCAGTTCCAGCAGCTGCAGTCGCTGGAGGAGGGGGGCACCGCGTCGGGCTTCGTCGCCGAGGTCGCCACCCTCTTCATCGAAGACGCCGACCGGATCATCGCCGACATCGCCGCCCTGCTGTAAGTATCCCCCCGCCCCCCGTCGCTCTCTGCTTTCGTTGACAACTCGTCTCGGGAGCTCATCCTCTCTGCCTTTGCCTCTGCTGCTCAGGGACCAGCCCGTGGTGGATTTCGACAAGGTGGACGCCCACGTGCACCAGCTCAAGGGGAGCAGCTCGAGGTGATGATGGCAAAAGCCTTTCCCCCAACCCCCCACTGCTCATTTTTAACTGTCCGTTTGTTTCTCCGCCGCGCCGTCGATCTTCGTGCGATTCAGACGTGTCGGCGCATGGTGTTTCGTGTAGCCGTAATTAGAGGGCCCGAGTTTAGTTTATTTCGTCACGCAACGGAATTGTCGGTGTTACCACCAACGGCAATACCCTGGCTCGGCGAGGAAATATCTGTTGTTTTGCAAACATTTTCCGGTAATGATGGTCCGGGATTCTGCGGAACGCCAATGGCTGTTTTTCTGATTTGTCAACAGCATTGATGGTGTTTATATTCTGGTGTGTTGGTGCCGTGTGTGCGTCAGCGGCACGCTGCTTGTGTCGTTTGCGGCTGTAGTATAGCTGTAGGTAGAGGATCTGAGTTTAGTTGTGTTCCCTGTAACGGAATTTGCGATGTTGTTTCTATTCAGGTGTGTCGGTGCATGCCTTTGTGTCGTTTGCGCTGCCGTGTAGCCATAAATAGAAGAGCTGAGTTTAGTCGCAATTGGTGCAAATGATTTGTCGGTGTGTGCATGCCGCTGTGTCGTTTGCGCTGTCGTGTAGCCATAAATAGAAGAGCTGAGTTTAGTCGCAATTGGTACAAAGGATTTGTTGGTGTATGCCGCTGTGTCGTTTGCGCTGCCGTGTAGCCATAAATAGAAGAGCTGAGTTTAGTTGCAATTGGCACGAAGGATTTGTCGGTATTGCTGCCAATGGCAATATCCTGGCCTAGCGCGAAAATATCTATTATTTTGCAAACATTTCTGGTGTTGATCATCTGCTGTTCTGCGTAACCCAGTGCTGGTTTTTCTGCTCTGTCGACGGTATCAATGTTGTTCTGTTCGGATATGTTGGTGCTGGTATATCTATTATTTTGCAAACATTTCTGGTGTTGATCATCTGCTGTTCTGCGTAACCCAGTGCTGGTTTTTCTGCTCTGTCGACGGTATCAATGTTGTTCTGTTCGGATATGTTGGTGCTGGTGTGTGTACGACATGGGCGTGCGGTTTCTGTCGTTTGCTGCTGTTGTATAGGCATAAGTAGGAGAGCTGAGTTTAGCTGTGTTTCGTGCAATGGAGCTGTCTACTCCTTATGGCAACTTTATGGGCCGGCAAGGAAAACTTTTGTCGGTTTGCAAACAGTTCTGGTGTTAATGATCTGCTATTCCACGTAACACCAATGGTGGATTTTTTGGTCTGTCAACGGCATCGATGTTGTTTCTATTCAGGGGTGTCGGTGCAGTGGGCATGCTGTTCGTGTCGTTTTGCGAACATTTCTGGTACTATCGAATCTGCTATTCAGCCAATAGCATCACTGTAGCTTGGCAATGGAAAAATTGTCGTTTTGCAAAATTTCTAGTATTAATGGTCTGCTATTCTACATAACCATAATGTCTGTTTTTCTGTTCTGTCCATGGCATTGATGTTGTTTCTATTCGAATGTGTCAGTGCCAGTGGCAGAGTCAGGGGGTGGTCAGCAGGGCCCCTGACCCGCCCCAAGATCTTGCTTTTGCTTATATAATTACAGTGAACAGTACTTTTGTTTTGCCTTTTTTTTTCTTTTAGCTGCACCCACCTCAACCTCGTTTTCTGGAGTTCCTGCCTCCGCCACTGGTTGGTGGTGGGTGTCTATGCCATGCGCATGCGGTTCAAGTCGTTTGCCCTGCCCTATATCCATATGTAGAAGAGCCAAGTTTAGTAATGAAATTATCAGTTTTCCTCATTAGCTTATGGCCTGGAAAGGAGAACTTTATCGTTTTGTGAACATTTATTTGTTGACTTGCTTCCTGATCGGCGCTTGCTTATGTAAAAATTACTCCTTTGAGCATATTTTTTGGCATTGCTTATGTGTATCAAGCATCATCATGCAGAGTTCAATAATTTTAGAAATTTCTAATTTCCTGATCGGCGCTTGTTCTGCATTTTTCAGTGTTGGTGCTCAGAAAGTGAAGCTCGCCTGCATGCACTTCCGCCAGTTCTATGAGGCAAAAAGCAAAGAAGGGTCAGTACTCAGTACCTTATTATATATGCTGCACAGTAATTATTCTCCACTCTCTGTGTTCTTCAATTTTTTTAAATGTAAATGGCACTATTTGACCAATAAATATCATTATGAACGGACCTACCTGTTCACCTCATCTGCAATCATGTGATTGGTGGAACTTGGTTCATTATCTGAATAATACCTCTTTGGCGATTCTCTTCTAACTTGTCTGTTTTAGGCTTCTGTTTGTAGCACGCCTGAATTCTGAGATGGCTTCAGTTTTTTTTTTTGTTCCCAAACAGGGGGTTGCAATGTCTGAACCATATCAGTTCAGTTTGCTTAATCTCTCCAGAATTTGACGGTGTGGTATGTTTGCACTATTTCAGGTGCCTCATGGCGCTGGCTCTTGTTAGGAGCGAGTTCTGTGATGTGCGCAACAAGTTCCAGACCATGATGCAGGTAGCTCCTTATGTGCCTGTGTTGTTGGCGTTCAACTTCTCAATGGTACCATAATCTACAGATTGGTGTTGTCTCGATCACTGATCGATGATTCTTGTTTTGACGCAGCTGGAGCAGCAGATCGAGGCGTGCAGTCCCAAGTAGAGTAGCAGTAACCGAAGCAAAAGGAGCTTAGCTCCCTCCGTGTGACCCCTGACATATGTGGGGGGCAGTGTGTATGTATCTCTGAAGCTTGTAGGCAGTGTAACGGGCGTCGGGGGCTTTGGAGGGCGTGTGCGCGGAACCGGGCCGACCGATTCCCGCGGCGGAACTCCGGGCTCGCGACCCCCTTGAAACGGAACTTGCTTGTACCGTGTCAACGCTATACCTGTTTGTGTTGTGCCCGCCCTCAGGCTGCGTGTAAACTCTTGCTGGTGACTTGGGTTTTGTTGTTGTATGTTGTTGGGGGTCTCTTGAACGTCTGTTGAAATGCTGTCGCCGTTTCCCCCTTTGCGCTAGGGGGAAGGCTTGCCGTTTCTCTTAAACTGTGCCGGCACCGCCGCCGCCGCTATCTGGTATATATCACTGGCTGAAACTGTGCCGGAGCTGCCGTCGCCGCTGTCTGGTATCACTGTGCTGTGTGTCGCCGGCCAGCCTTCGCCACCGTGAGAACCCCGCAGCGCCTCCGAAGGGAAGCATCGCTCCCCGGCGAGAGCGCCACTCCGGCGCCAGAGGAGAGGGAGAGATATGGGCGGCGCCATGGATAGACACCAGAGTTCATTGCTTGTTCGTTGCTAGAGGCCAAACGATGGGCAATCTTTGAGTAAGCCACCACTCAACTCGCTGACGGTGAACACGTGGACAAACAGACACATAACGTCGTTGCGGTTTTGTTTTATCTCAAAAAGACGCCATACGATCCAGCTGCATGCATCAATGGCGCCACGCCCGGACGAAGGCAGTAGAGTAAACCCTTTCCACCACTCGCTGCCAAAACGACGCCGTGCCTGCCGTGAGACAAGCTCGTGAGCCCACCCATGTACTTCTACTCCTAACACTAAGAGGGCTCCATCCATCTCCCCCCAACACCCATCCTCCTCTCCTCGTCTCCCCTCCCCTCTCCGGATCGCCGGACCTCCTCGCCTCGCCATGCCGCTCGTCTCGCTCCGGGCAAAGCTCAACACGCTTCTCGCCGTCATGTACGCATCGGTGAGTCCCACTCACGTCTAGCTAGCTGTATCCAGTCGGTGAGGAGTGAGGACCAGTGGCTTGACCTTTTTTTGCCTTTGGCGTGATGGGTGCTCGATCTGTTCTAGGGCACGCTGGACGAGCAGTTCAAACAGCTGCGGGCGATGGAGGAGGACGGCGGCGCGCCCCCGGGGTTCGTCGCCGAGGCCGTCACCCTCTTCATCCGCGAGGCCGACAGGATCCTCACCGAACTCGCCGCCCTCATGTCCGTGCCGCCCACTCTCTCCCTATGATTTCGTGTGCTCTGTGACTGATCTCGTGTGCTTTGTGACTGACTCGCTGTAGGAAGCAGCGCGTGGTGGACGTCGACAAGGCGGACGCCCTGCTGCGTCAGCTCAAGGGCAGCTGCATCAGGTTGTTGATGACTGATGATATAAAACCAAAACCCCTTTCTTTTCCATATATCCCCGCCGCCCATTTTTAGCTCCCACTCTATGCTTGTTGCTCCGCTAGCTAGATGCACCGACATGCCGTGCGATTCAGATGTGTTTGTCATGGGCATGCCGATCATGTCGGTTGCGGTATCGTGTGGCCCTAATTAGAAGAGACGATCTAGATTAACTAGTTGTGTTTCGAGTAACGGAAATACCGGTGTTCATGCCTTCCGAGTGATGGAAGCACTGGTATTCATGACAATGGGAATGTTATGGCTCGGCGAGGAAATACGGTAGTTTTTCTTTTTCTTTCCTTTTTTGGTTTGTCCGCGTTCTATTCGGATGTGTCGGCGTGGTGACGTTTGCTGTTGCCGTATATGCATAAGTAGAAGAGCTGAGTTTAGTTGTGTTTTGTGTAACGGAAGTACCGGTATCCATGCCAACGACAATGTGTGTTATGGCTCGGTGATGAATAATTTGTTGTCTTGCGAGCGTTCCTGGTATTAGTGATCTGCTATGCTATTCTGTGTCATGCCAACGGTAGTTTTTCTAGTTTGTTATTTCTATTCTGATGTGTCATTGGTGCGGTATCGATTGCGGTTGTCGTATACACATAAGTACCTGAGTTTAATTGTGCATATTGTGTAACAAAATTTTCGGTATTCCTGCCAATGGCAATGCTATAGTTCAACAAGGAAAACTTTGTCAATTTAAAAAAAAGGGGAAAACTTTGTCGTCTTGCCAACATTTGTGGTAGTATTGAATCGGTATTCAGCAACAGTGCAACAGAGTATGCCGGTTTTCATGCCAATGCTATGGATCGGCTAGGAGTACTTTGTCGTTTCGTAAACATTTCTTGAACTACTGATCTAGAACAATTTCTTTTATTGTGACAATCAATGATAAGAAGTGGCTCCTGGTATTAATGATCTGCTATTCCGTGTCACGCCAACGGTAGTTTTTCTAGTTTGTTATTCCTGTTCTGGTGTGTCGTTGGTGCGGTATCGATTGCGGTTGTCGTATACACATAAGTACTTGCCTGAGTTTAGTTGTGTTTTGTGTAACAAAATTGTCGGTATCCTTGTCAATGGCAACGCTATAGCTCAACAAGGAAAACTTCTGTCAATTTCAAAAGAAAACAAGAGGAAACTTTGTCGTCTTGCCAACATTAATTTCTGGTACTATTGAATCGGTATTCAACCAACGAAGTTTGAGAAATTCTTAGTTGTGTTTCATGCAACATAATATGTCAGTTTTCATGCCAATGCTATGGATCGGCTAGGAGCACTTTGTCGTTTCGTAAACATTTCTTGAACTACTGATCTTCTATTGTATGTAACGTCATTAGAGTTTTTATTTATGGTTTATAGAACAATTTATTTTATTGTGACAACCGATGATGATAGGAAATGGCTCATCAAGAATATTATCATGACATCGCAAGTATGCTTATTTGTATCAACATGCCATGGCATTAAGTTTGAGATTTCTTTTTTCTAGTTTTCTGATTTTGCTCACTTTGGCATGTATCAGCATTGGTGCTAAGCAACTGAGCGTCTCCTGCACGTACTTCCGTCAGTTCTACAAGGAAAAACCCAAAGGGTCAGTACTCAATTCGTATTTATACTAGATGAAACCCCATGTTGTTGCCGAATGATTTGCAATATATTAGTGATGATGTTGGTTGTATAGAACGTGGATATTTGGAGTAGTAATATGGAAACTAAAACTGAAAATACATATAATTTGTTATGATTGATCAGTGTATATTTGTATTTTTTTATTAATTATCAATAGCATAATAGGATGGAAATTCTCTTGCCTATTTGCATGTTGAGGTGGGAATTTTTCTATGCATGGTTGCATGTTGAGCTTTACCTTTTCTCCATGCATGTTATATGGCGTGGTGACATGCTTGCATGTTGAGGGAAATATATTAGTGGTGGCTAACTATTTAGATATAGAAGATATGTTACACAATAATTATTCTACACTCACAGTATTGTTCAAATTCTGTATGTAAAACCTGCCGGCTGATTTTGTCTTTTAAGCACTATATTAAGCCCATACCAATCAAATATTCTTAAGAATTAACCTGCCGTAGAATTTGGTTCATTCTCTGAATAAGACAATCTTTGATGATTGTGTATTAACTTGTTGACTCCAGACTTCTCTTTATAGGACAACTAGATTCTAAGATGGATTGAGTTTTTCTTTTCTTTCTTCCAAATAGATGGTTACAGTTTCCGAACAATTTTAGTTCAGTTTTTTAATGTCTCCAAAATTTAAGAGTGTGGTATCTTTTCACTATTTCAGATGCCTCTTTGTGCTGACTCTTTTGAGGAATGAGTTCTATGATGTGCGCAACAAGTTCCAGACCATGATGCATGTAAGCACCTTATGTGCCTATCTTTGCTTTTGTCTCACAACTTCACACTACTGTATTAATTATGTAGATTGCTCGCTTTTGAGATAAAAAAGAGTAATCTTGTTCTCATTCCTGTTGGTGTTGGAACTTATCTAGATATACTGTTTGGTTTCTGAGGTCTCTGAAATATCTTTGTTTTATAATTTACACTTGCTAGATGTATGGGATAGCCTTAGAAAAAGAAGTGGAATTTCTTTCCTTCCCAGCTTAAACTTAAGCTTTGCCAAGTACCAGAAAAAGATATCGACCACCTTGCAATATGGATTATTTATGAAACCATTTGACCCGAGCACCATTATGCGCCTTAGAATTTTCTTAACCATTGTTCCATCATCCTTCTTCCGATGCAGCTGGAGCAGCAAATCGAGGCCTGCAGTCCTAAGTAAACTTGCAACAACTGAAGCAAGAGCATATGTAGAGTGATCCCTGGCATGATGGGGTGTATGCATCTTTGAAGATTGTGGACAATGTTCAACGGTTGTTTGGCTTTGGAGGTCCTTCGTGGGATCAGACTGGTTCTCGCGCGGCAGAACTCCGTGCTCACAACCCTTCAAATGGAACTTCTTGTCATGTGTTAATGTATGTCTCAACTCTATACCCGTTTATGTCCAATTAATGGGCCGCTGTTGGAAGACCGCTCTATGTAAATTCTACCTGATTGGCTAGTTGGTTGCTGGGGACTTGGTTTTGTTTTATGTTGTTGCCTCCCTCATCTTTTGAAATGCTGGTGACTCTCCTTGCTGTTCTGTTGGCTGAGGGCACTGAAAAAATAGCGTGCTATAGCGCCGCTAATAACATGCTATAGCTTGTAGAGAATTGTCTCGCTAAATTGATCAGTAGTGTGTAATGTCTCGCTAATAGCATATTTTCAGGGGCGACGCTATTTTGTATAGTGCTATTTTTTTTCTTAGCTGAGGGTGAGTATTTACTATTGGAATCTGATTGTTTGTCGAGTACCCTGAGTACTAGATGAAGGCCGAAAAAAACTTGGCAAAGGCTTTGCCGAGTGTCACACACAACGAAGGGGACTCGACAAACCTTTTGCCGAGTGTCAAAACCTGCTACATGGTAAAAATGTTACCAAACGTAAAAGAGTGGATGGCGCCATTTCCACC